AAAAATTAAATTTAATTAAGAAATATGTATATGTATGTTAACTGAACTGAGAATATATTTTTCAGAGAAGATTCTCCAAAAATATTGATGCTTAACTCTATTGGAGTAGTGTTTATCTGACTCGAAGGCACATAGAGAAGATGCATAACACATGAAATACATATGAAGGCCTATGTGTGAGTGTAAATTCTTTTTTAAATGTTTATGATAACTCAGAATAAGGTAAGGCAGATAATGACAGTTCATTTACAATTTGAATGTCATGTTCTAAAGGATTTGAGTCTCATTCTCTAAATCAATAGATAAATCTGAGAGAAAGGTGAATGACTTCAGGTTTTCAGAGTCATGAGGAATTTTGATTTGCAACAAAGGCAGGTGCATGTAACAGAGCATGGAGTCAAACCAATGAATTCAGACATTTGCCTAGTGATTTTCTCAAAAGGGCATTTGTTTTCTTCTCTATGCAGACTAAACTTTCATCAACTGCATCCAATCTACAGCTACTGATATGATAATGAATAACAGTGTGACTGAATTCATCCTCTTTGGGTTGACACAGGATGCTGAAAAGCAGAAAGTAATATTTGGGGTCTTCTTGATTCTTTATCTTTTGACTCTGCTCTGGAACTTTCTCGTTGTGGTGACTATTAAGTTAAGTGTGAGCCTTGGGAGTCCTATGTACTTCTTCCTGTCCTACCTGTCCTTTGCTGATGCCTGCTTTTCTACAACTACAGCCCCCAGACTGATTGTGGATGCTCTGACTCAGAAGAAGACTATTTCCTACAATGAGTGCTTGACCCAAGTCTTTGCAGTCCATTTCTTTGGAGGTACGGAAATCTTTGTGCTCATTGTCATGGCTTTTGATCGCTATGTGGCCATTTGTAAGCCTCTGCAATATACAACCATCATGAGCCAGCGTGTCTGTAGCATGCTGGTGATTCTGGCTTGGGTGGGATCTTGTGTCCATTCTACAGCACAGATTTTCCTTGTTTTGCAATTGCCCTTCTGTGGTCCCAATGTGATTGACCACTACTTCTGTGACGTGGAACCATTGATGCAACTTGCCTGCATGGACACCTTTGTGATAAATTGGCTAGTTGTGTCCAATAGTGGAACTGTAAGTACAATGAGTTTCATAGCCTTGCTTATTTCCTATGTTGTTATTTTGTACTCCCTGAGAAACCACAGTGCTGAAGGAAGGCGAAAAGCTCTTTCCACCTGCACCACCCATTTCATTGTGGTTCTCCTGTTTTTTGGTCCAAGTATATTCATATACACACGCCCACAAACCACATTTTCAGTGGACAAGATGGTGTCTGTGTTTTATGCAATTGGGACACCCTTGCTTAACCCTCTGATCTATACACTGAGGAATGCCGAAGTGAAAAATGCCATGAGAAAGTTATGGTGTCGCAAAATATGACTTCAGTTGATAAATAAAATATGGTGAATTCAATTTATACTTGGTTAACATCATTTTTTTCTTAACATGGAAACGTGAAATATTACTGTAAGGAAACTATATATACATAAACATACATAAAGGAATACATATACATATATATGTTTGTGTGTGTTATATATATATATATATATATATCTCGGAAGGAAGGTTGTGCAATCCTACTTCCATAGTGATACTGCCTTGGAAACCCAAGGAGGGGTCGCTATGAGTCAGGTATGACTCGACGGCACATAACAACAACAACAAATATATATATATATATATATATATACATACATACACACATTTAATGTTATGGGAGGGTTGCTCTAAAATTTACTTACTTAATGCTTATAACAATTTTGAATAACCTAAAATCATCATTGCTTAAATTCTGTCCACACCTGACAATCTTTGCTTGGCAATTTAATGTCTTATAGAAATTTTTCTCCAGAAAGAAATGTAATGACTAATAACAGGATGATGTGTCCATGTGTGTCTAGAAAATTCCTTGAGGAGCTCTGGTAGCATAGCGCCTAAGACATTTGATTACTAACCAGAAGGTTGGCAGTTCAAAACCACTAGCCACTCCTGGGAAGGAAGGTTGGGCAATTTACCTCCCTAGTTACACCGTTGCAGAAACTCAAGGAGGGGTCACTATGAGTCATGTTTGAGTTGATGGCACTGAGTTTGGTTTTGGCTTATGATTTATTTTAATTCTATTTGAATTAGATCCATATCAGGTAGTCCATAGAGACTGAAAATTTACAGAAAGAAGGTTGTTGTTTTGCCAATATGAGAATTTGATCAGATGATCAAGAAGATGATAACTTTGGAATCTGTATCTTATCTTGCCTCCCTGGCAATGCTAATTTGCTATGATGAAATCACATAGTTTCTAGTGTCTCTTTCTAAGAAGATTTTTATTATCTCAGACCTGTACTCCCTTATGTGAAGGATCATCTGCTAATCTGCCATAATACCACCAAGGAAGTTCAGTTTTTGTTGTGTCTAGTAGTCTATTTATGCCATATATTTAACCAAGCAAATCTCAGTGCCATGGAGTCTGATGGCACTCATAGCAACATCTCCTTGGTTTTCCGAGGTGATAAGTAGTGAAGTAGATTGCCCAACATTCTTTCCACGGAGTGGCTGGCGGCTTTGGGCCACCAGCCTTCTGGTTAGCAGTCAAATGCCCTAGGCACTACACCACCAGAGCTTCTATGCCATACACTAAGACCCAGGTAAGGGTGGTAAGAGAGGTTTCCAACAGGGAGGCAAACTTGTCTGTCGGTTTGTGCTACCGTGGTGACGTATTGATGTGAGTTTTGAGGCTGAGCCACTGGTGTTTCTAACCCAGCGGGATGCACGTGGTGCACAGGTATCAGCCCAGCTTACAGACTGAGACAGACTAGGAAGAAGGAGGAGGCCGTCCACTTCTCAAATAATTGGCCAGGGAAAACCTTATGAATAGCAAAGAAACACTGTCTGATACATTACCATGCAACTTTCTGGTGCGGGATCG